TTCTTGAGGTTCTCATTTTCTGCCCTTAGTAGTACATTATCTTGCCTGTCTTGTTGTGCCTACATTAATTAACACAAAACACTCACGTTAGCTCCAGTTTAGCGATTTACAGATATTAAGGGGCTTCTTAGTCTTTAATATATATATCTGTAACCCTAAACGGCATGCATTAAAGTCATGTTCCCATTAGGATGCCCATGCAGCACTGGTGGTAGGGTTGACTGTGCATCCCGGCCCACAGCGTACATTTAATGGATTACAGTCTTTGAAAGCAACCCAAAATTAATGAGATGCTACTAGTGCTAGCGTACGCGTTTTTTTATACAGTTCTAGGGCTTTCATTTTGACCTTGGGTAATTATAATAGACACAGTCCTTATTGGGAATAGAGCTGGTTTCAACCATATAAGTTTTTAGGGTTTCTCTCTCACACACACAACCGTGGGTGAGTGTGAGAGACAGAGAAAGGAGATGAATATGACGCTGCTGTGCTTACCTTCATTTGGGTTCGGCGGTTTTGGAACCAGAACTTGACCTGGCGAGGCTTGAGGCCAAGATCTTGGCTTAGTTTCATGCGCTGTTTATCATCCGGGTGTGGACATTCCTTAAACAGCCTGCAGAATCACAATTAACAATTAATTTATTTGTACATATATAATAAATAGAGAAAAATTGCAAATTGAAGCTTCAAAGGTCTGTCACAAACACACACGCACACACACAAGCTATAGCACTGGTTTCGAGTGGCATTTCAACCCGGCCGTTCAACGGTATTGAAGAGCTTATTTTGCAAAGGGGATTTCGGACACACAAAACAACACAGAGACACATAGTGAGGAGAAAGATAATTTAATCCATACGCTTCCATTTCCTGGATCTGGCGAGCGGTGTGGCGGTGATAACGTTTCTTCTTTGGCTGCGGCTGTACCTCGGTTTCTTGCTCATTTCCAGACACACCTTCCATGTGTTCACTCCCGGAACCACTTTCCATCTCCTCTTTGCTTTTTGCTAAAACATTTTCTTCTTTCTGCATATATAATTAATAGTCTCAAAATGCTAATTTTCATGTAAATGAAATCAACTATGTAGATGAGAGAGATCCTTGTAACTTACGGCCACATTAATGGGAGAAAAAATGTTGAAAGGATTAATGTTTGCCATGAAATTGAAGTTGGGGTTCTGGATCGACGAAGAATAGAGAGTATCAGAGGGAATAGCGTTCCCTCCCACTGATGAAAGTACTTGGCAATCTCCATACATTTTTCCCCTTTGAATTGTTGCTAAATAATGAAAACTGTTGAGAATAGGGTTCGCTTATCTTCTCTTCACTTTTAAAACCCTTTGCTGTGATAACCAAATCCAAACATCACATTAATTTGAACTGAAAGAAATATAACAGCATTCATCACGAAAAATAATTAAAACAACAAAGAAAAAGGGACAAAATACCATCAAAACATCTGATCATAGAGTAAAATAAAAAAGAAGATACAAGGTTTTTTCTGATGTTCAGAAAGATCAGTCAAAAGTGAGGTAACTTTATATATGAACACAAAAACATTCAAGCTTTTATTGCAGCGTTCCAAAATCACCATGGAAGAAATTAAAATCCCAACAAAATTAATAAATGAGTTAGAAGATGAAACACGAAAAGTTAGAAAGATGAAAACGAGTATATTAAATACACTATACAGTGTCGGTGTGCTGTTCTTCTTCTTCTTCTTCAGCTCTTTGCTTCTTTATCTTTCATTACACCTTCACCAAACAAAATTCTCTCTCTTATTGTTTCTGTGTAGAGTTATAATTGTATGAATTTTCGATGGTAAATGCGAGCTTTAACTACGTTGTAAAGAAACCGATCAAAACACGGTTGATCGTATGGCTGTTTCCTTCACGTGGCGGATTTCTATTGGAGGATATACCCACTTCTGCTATGTCATAAAAGTCAAAACCTTTTGATCTTCAGTTGAGACGCTTTTTTTGGGGCGTGTAAGCTACATTCCAAAGAGTAAACAAAAAATATTAAAGCCCCGTTTGGTACCCATTTTTGTAAAAATGAGAAAGAAAAATAGTCGTTATAGGATCCACACAAAAGATAAAAAATCAAATATTATTGTCTGATGTGATGGATAACGATCATATTTTTCATTTTTGTGACCAAAGAATGAGAATCAAACGAGAGCTAAAACCTATGTTTAGTCTTTATTATTTTCAAAATGTATTTTTGGATCTCTTATTTTGAATCATATATTTTTTAATAAAATATATTACACGTAAATTCAAAACTTTTCTTTATCACACATTTTCCATCAAAATAATATTTGAAAATGCATTTTGGACAAAAAAAAAAAAAGGACTCAAACATGCTTTAAAATAATAATATGGAAAAAATCATATTTGTCTTAACTAAAAATAAAAATACCGTGTCTCTGAAAATACATTTAATGTACTACAAAATAGACATTATAAACCCATAAGTAACTGCCCCAAAATTTTCTCCCATCAACATCTTTGTAACCGAAAATTCAAATAAAATCATATATTATGCCTTTAATTACACACCCTTAATATTAGCAAATTCAAAAAATAATTTAAAATGGTAATCATAACAATGCAGAAGATGACTCGTATTTTTGGAAATCTTAGTCCTGTAAATTTTGGAAATTTTATTTATAAGGGTTGTGTGGTGTAATTTCCTTTATTTTACTACAGGATTTATGACCCTTTTGACATGATTTTTGGATAATTTAAAAGAAGCCTCTAAGATTGAAAAATTACTTTTGGATTGTATGATTAAATTTTATAAAAGTGCTTCCATTAATTAAAAGAGTTTTTAGATAAAGATGATTCAATATAACTTTCTTTAATAGCTTTTTTTTTTCTTTTTTTTTTTAGAAGTTAATTTCCAAGCAATCTTCTGCAAGTAGAAATCAAAGCACTAACCATACTCAATGGGCCCTTAAGTAATTTGACATTTGAGCCTCCTAACTTTAAATACGTGAACGTTGCATGTAAATTCAAAATTCATATTGATGACTTTTGTCGTGAAAGACATGTAAAATCGACAACATTTATATATGTTGGATATTGGTTAAAAAAATCGAGAATTGAAAATCGATTAAAGTGACTTCGTATCGACTTCGGCCAAATACTCAAAAGCTCGACTCAATCCGTTTAGACAAAATTGTTTGCCACTTCGCCGTTTCGGGGCGCACAAACGGGGTCGTGGGGGCTCGTTGCCCCCGAAAGAGAATTTTGATTTCTCTAAATGTATTGAAGGGTATATTTGGCATTTCGAAAACCAATATCGGATGAATGAGAAATTACGAAAAAGGACGAAAATCAGGTCGCGACCGCATAGTTGGTAAATAGACACCTTTTCATAAAGGTGCATTGTTTGGAAAGGGTGCATGGTTTGGCCTCAACCATTTCGTCCACACCCTTTCATGGTCTATAAATAGGACCCTTTGGGTGTCCTATTCCACACAAATTTGATATGCAAAACATCTCTCATCCTCTCTTCTATCCAAAATCAAAATCATTTCATTTATTTTGATTTTCCTTCATTTCATCCTTGGAGTACATAAGCCTAAATTTGGCTCGTTGTACTTGTGTTTTGGAGTGCTACAAACACAAGTATAGCCGTTGTATCTTGGGAGTCGATTGCCGAAATCCGTAGGCACCGTTGCGGGGCAAATTCGACTTAAGGACAAAGAGTCCAACTCTTACCTCGACTTTGTCCCTACTTTCTTCTTCTTCTTATTTGTGTTTTCTTTGCCGTTACTCTGTCCAATTTTCGGCACGGATTTACAAACCATCATTATACTTATTTTAGCGTCACTATTCACAAAATTCATCCAACAATATATAAATTCACTTCAAAGTAAATTTTTGATAAACATCAAAGTTTGCCCAAACATGCTCTGATATATGACTCTTATATCAATTTCCAAACTTTGGTCCCACTTTAATTGACCATCATGCTTGGCTTTGACAGCTGTTTCGCGCGGGTTAATTCGCTAACAATTAAAGAGGATCAGACGATTGTGTAAGGGACGAAACCTCTTGAGACAAAGTTCCAAAAAGGGGTGTTCTTCTATTGGCGATGAACTTTACAATTGGAAACGAAAAACAACGTGCCTCCAAGGGGCGCAAGCACACGAGGTACAGAAAGAAAAGTGTTTAAGTCTAAAAGCTAAAGAAATGAAAATTACATATTCTCCGTTCGAGAGTTTTGGATTCGGTCTTTTGCTTCTATGTCCTTTCTCCCTTTTATACTTCATAGGCGATCCCTTTGTGATTAACTGCTCTAAAAACTGCTTGATCGCCCTATAACTACCCACTTTCTTTGTAGTGGCCATTTTGTCATGAAACTGCCTTTTAACTGCTGCCATTATCTTGCATCGTTCAATCGCTTTCGATTGAATCCCTTGAGTCGTGGAACATGATAAGGCTACTTTAGCAACTGCCTTGATAACTACATTTTTTGATAATCACAATGCGTTATGTTTATTGATACATTGGGCGACTTGAAGGTTTGGGCGAGAATAGAATAACAGCTCTGGGCGACCGTATGACACTCCATTCGTTCAGATTCTGAGCGACTTGCAAACTTGGGCAATGGCGTTACCGCACTCTTGGGCCCCTTATTTGGGCCTTCACCTTGATTCGTTCAATTGGATTTCATTTTTTGGGCTATCTGATTTGGGGATCCTCCAATTGAGCTTTACTCTTTGGGCTGTTCGATTTGGGCTGAATTTTTATGTGTCAACAATTACCCCCCAATATGGCAGAATTAATAATAATTATTGAATTTTGCCATATTCACTTCACGTCTCCAGCAACGTTAGCGATTCCCAAAGAATTTCAATCATTGTTTCCCTCTATAACTTGAAAAGGTGCGTCGCTTTGCAAACCCTTATAAACCCCAAACACGCCATTTCGCTGCTACCAAACCACGCCTCATATTTCTTGCGTCTCTTTCACGATTCACCGTTCATCTTTTGCTTCCTTGTTACGTAACTCTGAAAAAGCTTCGTTCCTTCTTCAATGGCTGCTTCACAATTTCAAGCTAGCGACTCCTTTAGTTTTGATGACTTTCAGAAACTTCTGAGTCGTCCATACGTAACCCCAAGTTTTCTCGCGCCCGCCGATGTTGGACGTAATGAGTTTTACTTGGGTCCTTTCTTCAACAATGCGGAGGCAGTTGAACAGGCGGCGGTGGGTCAGCTGTTTCCTTGCACTCATGGCTCTCCTTTTCTGAACTCTCTGCCGCGCCACTTCGCGAAAGAGGTATTCGCACTTGGCCTAAATCTGACTTAGCTTTTCGTAGGTGGCATGCTCGTCTTGTGGGTCATGGTCCTACTAAGGCACTTTTTGATAGCGCTAGGATTTCCGATTTGTTGGAAGTCTCTATTCGCCCCCCTACTTTTGATTCAGCGCTCTTTCCGATTGCTTTGAGCTTTTGGTCCTCTGAGTATAACACCTTTATTTTTCCTCTTGGCCCCATGTCTATTACGTTAAGGGATGTTGGGGCCCTGGTGAATTTACCACCTTTGGGCGATACCATTTTCCCAGGCATCTTAGTTTCTGGTGGCGCCCCACAGTTCGGTAAAAACTATACCGATTCTTATTCAAGCCTGCAGACACTCCACAATCATTCGAGTGCTGAGTCTACCCATGCTGAGCGAGTGGCCTTCCTTTTAGTTTGGCTTTGTAAATATGTGTTGTGCGTGCCTAGTATAAAGCCTTCTCTGAGTTATTTACCTATAGCGCACGAACTGGCGCGTGGCAGGCCTTTGAATTTATGTTCTTTGTTTTTGGCTGCCCTTTATAGAGGTATGGCTTTTCTTCAAGCTCAATTGAAGAATGGTGCATCTCCTACTGGCAGTGGACCTCTTTGGTTCACTCAACTGTGGTTGAGATCCTATTTTTCATCGCTTGGTGCTCCATCCATTTCTAGTCCTTCTGCTAGCTGTTACGGGCTAGCTATGGAGCCCTTAACTCCTGTAAGTATGTCCAAAAGGGACATTTTTTTATTCTTTTATTCTTTAGATTCAATCTCTTCCTTCTTTCTTTTTCCTCCTTTTTTGACTCCAAACTATGTACATCCTCCTTCCACTATAGATAGCGCGAGCACCTCCCTGCTCATTTGGATCCAGTTCTTAACTGGGAGGGAGCTTTTCCATGATATCTTAACTAGGACCAATGCCAAAGCAGGGGTAGAAATTTATGCTCCCCAATTTTTTGCTCGGCAACTTGGTTTCGGCCAAACTTGGCCTGTTCCTCTTTGCTATTCGAAGAACTTAATTGACCATTTTCATACCATTAATAAGGTGGAAGCAGAGGCTATAAACGCTCGCAACCTCCATTTATCAAGCCATTTTTCATTAGCCCCTTTTAATTCTTGTCATGCTACTCACCCTCTTTTCGAACAACTTTGGCCATCGGTGAAGCGCAGATTATTTGCGACTGAGGCCAATCGTGCCTTTCATTCATTAGACCAACCGAGTATTTCTTCTCCTCCTCCTATTTTGGTCACTCCTTTGTCTATTGGGAACCCCTTTCCTTCTCGTCGTACTAAACAATCTGCTCGTCCATCTTCTTCTCTCCCCGCCAGGCCAACTACGGCCAAGAGTGCTACAAGCCGCAAACGGCCAGCCTCAGCATCTCCCATTCTGGAGGATGATGTTGATGATGATGATGATGCCCCTCTTATCGTTAGGAGGAAGGTAATTAAATTGGTCTATTTACAAGTATGCTCTTCCACATTTGAAACTTTTCTGTGTACCGATGATCTTTTGGACTTTTCAGAAAAGCTCAGCCTC